ACCACCTATAAAAATAACATAGGTGGATGTTAATTGTGTCATAAACTTCAGATTCAACAACCAATTTCCTTGTTAGGGGCGATAAATAACAAAGTGACTACTTCACAGGTTGCAGATACAGCTTCAGATACTACTGCTGTTAGCAACATATAATTTTGGTTTCAGGAGGATGAATACTACAAAGACAGAACAGCTATTAATTAAAGGTAGACATTCAACCCTCCACCACCCTTCTCCTCCTCATTTTTAGTTTTTGGCCAAGCTCTGAATTTTTAACAGGCTAATTTAGTCTGTCACCTGGTTACATGCCATGGCCTCTAATCCTGGAATTGCTTAGTTATATTTAGTACCTATATCCATTTTTATGTATATAATACCAGATTGTATTATATACATAACCAACTTTTAGGGCTTTGCTGCTACTGTTTTCTATTTATAATTTAGGGTCCGCATAAAAGTGATGGTGCAGTGATTCATCTTCAATTTGGGACACAAAGGTTCAAGTGCCAGCTCTGCTACAGACTTCCCAAGTGACGGGCAAACCACTTTGCTCTTCAGTTCCTGATCAGTACAACAGTGGCTATAACCCTGCCATTTCACTGTGGATGAAGCTAAATGAATTACATACTGTTATGTGCTATGGTGACAGGCGCATATGCATACAAGACAGGACTAATTCAGTTAGCCTATATAATACAGGACTTTCCTGAATTAATTTGCATTAGAACAAGCAAAAATATCTGATCTTGACTTCAAAGGTGCCAATGATGATTCATCACAATGCATGAGAAGCTGTGCCATTGATTAATTATCCAGCTATTAAAAGTACAGCTGTGATTGATGATGGTGATGATGGATATGATATTCAAAAACCATTTGGCATTATAAGGCACAGCCAGAACGGGGCATAAAGCAGCTGTGGTGCCTGACTGGAAAGAAGTGTGACACCCATTGTAGGGACACCATTTGCATGTCACTTTGCCAAGACACTCCAGTGGACAGTTTCCAAGGAAGATGGTAGAGCAATCAATCTGCACACACAGAAAACAACATGAGTGCTACCGAAACAGAATGACTTAGTATTTGTGATTAGACACCTGATAATAATGAACTAGGAGTAAAACAAAAATGTTACTTTTGCTCCCATAGGCATTGACAAATCTTAGGATAATGTATTAGGAAAAAAGATATGGGATGAGTTGGAGAGATTAAATGTGAAGCAAGTTGATGGAATTTGGATCAAGAGAGAAACGTTTGAAGTAAGACCTCTTCAAATATTGTTGGATCTCTTCCATTTTAAATATAGTCATGAAGTTTTAAAAATCAAAGTTTACCCCTTTTCTGTCACTAGCTTGCATTTTAAATGACAAAATAAAACGGTACACAAATCTTTAAACTAGCTACATCTTTAGAGAAGCCACGAAAGCCCTACTAAAAAGCTAATAAACAAATCACCAAAACATTAGCTGTAACAGTTTTATTTTTTTTATTTTACTATATTGACATTTTATGCACAAATATTTTAGAGTAAAAATAGAAAATAATTGTTTCATGTAAAATTACCAAAAAAATTCAAAACCACGAAAGAAATACATAATTATTAGCAGAGTATAGGTGTCTTTATTTAAAGAGTAAAAAGTATGCAAAAACCTTCAGTTTTACAAAAATTGGGAATATACTTTATGTTTTTCTTCTGGCAGCAACAGAACATAACTCTTGACAATATATTCTACACCTTTTAATTAATAGAAGACATCAAGTCAGTCACAGATCTCTCCCTCAACTACAGAAAATGTCAGCATCGTTATGCTATTTGAAATACATCCCTGGTCCTTTTTTAATGGCAGAAGCAAAGCGGAAGAGCAGATGACCCTATGAAGAAGTAAAATGAACGCACCCAAAAGAGTACTGTAAGCTACTGAAGAATTTCAAAATAAAATGTATATACAAAGAAAGCTTTGATGTCTTACTACTTCCTAACAGGTTTCTTATTTTCTGTGTATACTCAAGGGTAAAACACTCATTTTAATTTTTATCTCAGATATTAAATCTTTCTTCTGTAGTCCTGTTTTGACTGGGTTGGTTAACATTTTAAGCCCTCTTTTTTTCTGCTCCTTGGCAGTATTCTAGACTTCTTTTAGAAAGCTATTCATAAACTGCTTTACGTTTAACAACTTGTCACTTCAGCTGTGACTTGTTTCCTAGTGACCCCCCCCCC